AGCCGCCGCCACTGCAGCGGCCACCCCAGCAGCAGCAGCACCTGGAGCAGCCGCCCCAGCAACAGCAGCCCCTAGAGCAGCCGCCCCAGCAACAGCAGCCGCCCCTGGAGCCGCCGCCCCAACAGTAGCAGCCCCTGGAGCCGCCGCCACTGCAGCGGCCGCCCCAGCAGCAGCAGCGCCTGGAGCAGCCGCCCCAGCAGCAGCCCACGGCGCCGACCCCACAGCTGTCTACACCGCCGCTCCTGGACTCGGTACGGCTGCCCGTGCCTGTGCTACCTATTGCTGCCCGTGCCTGTGCTGCCTGTTGCTGCCCATGCCTGTGCTGCCTGTTGCCGCCCGTTGCTGCCCGTGCCTGTGCTGCCCGTTGCCGCCCGTTGCTGCCCGTGCCTGTGCTGCCCGTTGCCGCCTATTGCTGCCCGTGCCTGTGCTGCCCGTTGCTGCCTGTTGCTGCCTGTGCCTGTGCTGCCTGTTGCTGCCTGTTGCTGCCCGTGCCTGCGCTGCCCGTTGCCGCCTGTTGCTGCCCGTGCCTGTGCTGCCTGTTGCCGCCCGTTGCTGCCCGTGCCTGTGCTTCCTGTTGCCGCCCGTTGCTGCCCGTGCCTGTGCTGCTCGCGCCCTTGTGCGCTCTGCTCTGCCTGCGCCCTCGTGCGCTTTGCTGCTGCCCGCGCCCTCGTGCGCCCTGCTGCTGCCCGCGCCCTTGTGCGCTCTGCTCTGCCTGCGCCCTTGTGCGCTCTGCTGCTGCCCGCGCCCTCGTGCGCCCTGTTGCTACCCGCGCCCTTGTGCGCTCCGCTCTGCCTGCGCCCTCGTGCGCCCTGCTGCTGCCCGCGCCCTTGTGCGCTCTGCTCTGCCTGCGCCCTCGTGCGCTCTGCTGCTGCCCGCGCCCTTGTGCGCCCTGCTGCTACCCGCGCCCTTGTGCGCTCTGCTCTGCCTGCACCCTCGTGCGCTCTGCTGCTGCCCGCGCCCTCGTGCGCCCTGCTGCTGCCCGCGCCCTTGTGCGATCTGCTCTGCCTGCGCCCTTGTGCGCTCTATTCTGCTCTGTCGCCCCTCCCCTCCCCCCCCCCCCCCCCCCCCCCCCCCCCCCTTCTTCGTCTCCTTGCTGCGCGTGCAGCCGTGGAACGGAGGCTATGGGGGTGGCGGGTATGGGGGTGATGGGTGTGTGTGATCCCCTTCCCCTCCTCCTCCTTTCTCTCCCACTGCTGCTGCTGCCGTTGGGGGGGGTGGGTGTGAGGGTGTGAGGGAGCTGGGGGAGAGGTGCTAGGGTTGACGAGGAGTGTGGAAGGGGGAGTTGGAGGACTAAGGAAGGTTCCAGGAAGCAGCCGCCTTGGAGCCAGCAGCTTCACCTGCCAGCAGCCTCTCCTCATATAGTCCCTCCTCCTCACTTGCCCTCTCATTCTGCCGTGCATGGTGTACCCCTTCAGGGGGTGTCTCTGCATTAGCTTCTGCTGCAGGCAGTTATGGGGGAGTGTCAGAATATATCTGTAACTGCCTGTAGCTATAGTTAGTGTAGTTATTATAAACTTTGTTTGGTGGTGCACCTTCTTTGTTTCTTTGCTATATGTTGTTGTCAACCTATAGTGAAGCCATCTTTCTCCTCTCTCAACTTTCTCGACATTCTCCTTACTCTAGAACTCGATCTACTAAGAACCTAAACCATGGCTCCTAAGCCAACCTATGCCTAGACTTCAACATTTTATAGTAAGGCTGCTCACTTAACTCTCTTCTCCTCGGCCCCAAGCCTCGATGTCAGCCTTTGAATATTCATTTTCTCCGATGTCCCCTTTACTTTCGTTACTATAAACCTCTTCCTCTTCTTTGCTTTCACATGAATTTACCTCTCATGTTTTATCCTTCGGATGTAAATTTGTGCAGAGAAACGGAGAAATGGCTTGTCAGGAGTAACGGAGTGCCACCTGCGCTGCTCTCCTATCCTCCTCCCTCCCTGCGTTTCCTCCTTCAGGCAAGGACCGCAGTGGTGGCATGGGAAGGAATTCATTCAAGGTCAAGTCAGAGAAGGCCAACGTGATCCTCTTCTCATAGTAAGGCTGCACACTCAACCCTCCTCTCCTCTGCCCCGAGCTCTTGATGACGGCTGTTCATTGCCATTCTTCTTCCCGTTGCTTCTCCTTGTACCGCCTTCTCTCCTCTGACCTCCATCTCTCTGCCTTTGCATTCCTTGCTTTTCTTTATGCCCCTTTTTCATGAATGCAGTGATATCCTCCCTCCCTTCATTCAGTCCTGCAGGCAAGGATGGCATTGGTGGCTTGGGACGGACTTTAGGCACGGCTAACTGAGGCAAGGCCAACATGATCCTCTTCTCATTGTAAGACTGCTGACTCAACCCTTTTCTTCTCTACCCCAAGGTCCCGATGTCAGCCTTCAAGTTCCTTTTAATTCTTTTTTGTTCTCCAGTGTCCTCTTTACATGTCTTACTTTTCACATGTTCCTCTCCTTTGGTTTCACTTGCCTTTACATCTCATGAGTCCTCATTCAGATGTGATATCAAATAGTAGGCGGGGAAACGGATTGGTAGCAGTAACGGAGTGCGAGGGTGCACGAGAATAGCCCGTAAGTTGAGCCTTCTTTCTTGATAGGTTTTTGCGCCACACTCGTCTGGCACAAACCCCCATACTCCGCTTAATATTGTCCGATCCAACTCAAACACATAGCATATCATATAATGTCATATCACATCACATCGCATTGTATCGTATTGCATGGCATCGTATCATATCATCTCATATTATATCATGTCATATCATATCATATCATATTATATCATATCATATCATATCATATCATATTATTGGGTGTGTACCCAAGTCATGTACATCATATCCAGGCAACACACAGCACATAAAACCATATCTAATTTTGTCATGTCGTGAATCTCAAAGCTCGTGTGCCTTGACCCCTCTTGTCTGCTTGCAGGACAACCAAAGCAGTTCCATGTGGCAGCCAAGGCAGTTCCATGTGGCGGCCAAGGCAGTTCTATGTGGCAGCCAAGGCAGTTCCATGTGGCGGCCAAGGCAGTTCCATGTGGCAGCCAAGGCAGTAGGATGAAGTCCACATGGGTTAGAGCTGAACCAGTTTAAATGGGTTATACTGGTAGGATATCTAGACTAGTAACGCTCTCAGGTACGGTAACCCCCTCCCTCCCCCCAATCCCATCCACTCCCCCCCCCCTCTCTGCGTCGGACTCCCCCCACACCCCCCTCCCCCTGTCCCTTACCCCACTCTCCCTGCGTTGCCGCTCCCTCTTCCTCCCCATGCGGCCCACCCACCTCAGTGACCCCCTGCGTATGCTAACCACAGGACTTGATAGGGCTCGTGCACACTAACCACAGGGCTCGTGCACACTAACCACAGGGCTCGTGCACACTAACCACAGGGCTCGTGCACACTTACCACAGGGCTCGTGCACACTAACCACATGGCTCGTGCGCGCTAACCACAGGGCTCGTGCACACTAACCACAGGGCTCGTGCGCACTAACCACAGGGCTTGTGCGCAGTAACCACAGGGCTTGTGCGCACTAAACACAGGGCTCGTGCACACTAACCACAGGGCTCGTGCACACTAACCACAGGGCTTGTGCACACTAACCACAGGGTTGTGCCTAGGGGCATGCATACCACGGGGGGTGAAGTGGGAGCACAAGTTGCAGGTCCTGTAGAGTCGAGCACACTATCTACAGGGCTTGTAGAATCGAGAGCACTTACTACAGGACTTGCAGAATCGAACACACTAACTGCAGGAGCACAATAACACCAGGGCCTGTACCGTATATCCTAGCACACTAATCACAGGGCTTGTAGAACCAGTCACACTAATCTCAGAGCTCGTACAATCGAGGCCATTAACTGCAGAGTTCATACAATCGAGTAGACTACCGTAGCTGCAGCGCTTGTACTTTGAGCACACACTAACAACAGGGCTTGTAGAATCGAGCACACTAAGTGCATAGGCTTGTACAAACGAGCACATAAACTACAGGGCCTGTAGAATTGAGCACACTAACAACAGGGCTTGTAGAAACGAGCACACTAATTACAGGGTTTGTAGAATTGACCACACGAACTACAGCGGGTGTAGAATCAAGCACATGAACAACAGGGCTTGTACCGTATATCGTAATTGAGCACACTAACTGCAGGGCTTTTAGAATCGCGCACACTAACCAAGGGCTTGCAGAATCGGGCACACAAACTACTGGAGCACAGTCACAGCAGGGTTTGTAGGATTTTGCACACTAATCACAGGGCTTGTAGAATCGGGCACACTATCACAGGGCTCGAAGGCCCTAATATTAGGCCTGTAGAATTTAGCACTTCTGGTATTGTTTTCATATGGATTGGTTCCTCTTGCTGGATGGGCGAGCTAGTGTATCTATACGCGAAACTAGTCAAGTACCTGAGCAGCAAGAGGCACATGATTTTCAGAAGCGCAACCTGCGTCGCGGAAGCACCCGTCAACCAATCGGAGCAGATGGCGGCTGCTTCAGCCCTGGTTTATGACGCCATGCCGCTTCTGCTTCGATTAATTCACACGAAACGAAACTCACTTGGCACCACACGAAATCTTGTCCGTCCAATCGTCACCGTCGATTCCCAGCTTGCTCTCAGCTTCGGGATTGTCACAGCGCATGCCTCTCAACCTCATCGCACCCTAGATAATACACTTTGGTACCGTACAGCACCCCTCTCGCTGCTCTCGCTGGTGTGCTCGATTGCGACGACAAACTTGGAAACCTAGAATGCATTCCCAAGGTCTGTTCGCTTTGTTCGCTTCGTTAGCATTCTGCAGGCCTAAGCGTTTCCAAGGTCATGTACGTTCCTTTTTTGTCGGAATGCCACTCCCAGACAACGTAGGGAACGTCTACTAATGTCAGCTCGTCCACTGAGGCGTCATGTGAAACTGGAATGCTCAGTTTCCCTCCGCTGACTCTCCGGTGCAGTTTTGACTAGCTTACGAGCACAATTACTTACCGAGATTTGCTTTCCACGATGGGGGCGAAGCTGCAGGTCCAGCTGCTTCAGGCTCGGAACCTGGCAGCTAAGGACAGCAACGGTCTGAGCGATCCGTACGTGCGGATGCAGGTCGGCCGGAGCAAAGCGCGCAGCAGCACAGTGTATAAGAACCTCAATCCGACGTGGAATGAGGAGTTTCTATTTAGAACAGATAACCTTGAAACGGATGTTCTCCTCGTGACCGTGTGGGACGAGGATTACTTAGGAAAAGCGGATTTTCTGGGTCAAATGTCGGTGCCGGTAGCTGCGGTGGCGGCTGCGGAAGGGAAGAGTCTCCCGCCGACGTGGTATCCGCTCAAGAAGAAGAGCGAGCGGTCTCGCTCATTCGTCTCAGGTCAGAAACTAGGAGCAGCTGCTATTCATGTTGAGAGATGTCCCGAAACCAAGAAATCTGGAGTCAAACTTTCTTTTGGATGTCGTCCGCAAGAGACTATTCATTCTGCAAGGCTCTGTTTGCGGGGCTAGGTGTGTGGCGTATTCTGAATGTTGTTTTGAGAATGATGAAAAACACCTTGCTTGCGGGATTTCGTGAGCGGTTGAGATATTATCTCCTCGGTCATGGCGTGGCGTCAGCCAGCTTGGAGCAGACGCGTGTCACGCCTTTCGTCGAGACATTTGACGCCTGTATTACGGCTTTCGCGCGTTCATTACGATATTTCACGCTGTTCTCATGGCATTTCACGCTTTTATTACGGCAATGCACGCCCATTTGACGCCTTTGGCATGACATATCACCCTTACATTACCGCATTTCACGCCTTAATCACCGCATTTCACGCCCTCATCACCGCATTCCACGTCTTTATCACGGGCGTGGCTCAACCATGAAATCCTTACAAAGTGCGGCGCACTTTTTCAACGCTATTCCCACGCGTCCCCTTCTCCCCACCGCCATTGCAACGTCATTCCACAGGCGAAATCCTTATAGAGGTCTCACTATGGGGCCTCGTGTCCCACGCGGCTCAATCCCAAACCGCCAGCCCTGTCAGCTCAACCGCCCTCTCCCCCTACTCCTCCACCCCATTCTCCATCACCCCTCCCTCCACCTCGCACACCCCCACTCTCCCGCTCCTCACCTCCTCCTCCTCCACACCATCCTCCCTCGCTTCCACCCCCGGCAACTACCACCCCAACCCAATCGACCCGGCTTACAACCCGCCAGCCACTTTCCAGCTCCCACATCCGGACCAGATGGGCCTTGCGACGATCTCCTCCGAGCCACATTCCCCAACCTCCTCCGCTGACTCGACCGCGTCCGCGCCTGGCGGGCTGGGCTCGCTGTCACTCTGGCTGTCAGGGCCCCTCTCCTCCACCTGCTCCTCCGCTGCTTCAGGCTCCCTCACCTTCCACTCTGGGCCTCTGATGCTGACTGGGGTGCCTTCTGCTGCTTCAGACTCTTCTCCTCCTGCCGGTGCACCGGCCCTCCCGCTGCCTCCTGCAACGAGTTCTTCCTCTGCTGAGGCCGACAGAACTGCACCGCTTCCTATACTGAATGGTGGGAGCTCCTCCTCCGCTCCTCCTACTCCCGCCTCAGGCGAGAGCGATGCAGCAACCCTCGCCGACCTTGCATCACCCACTGACACCCAGATCGTACCTCATTCTGCTGACTTGCACCTAAAATCCGTTGCTGAATCTCACGCCATGCAACACTCCACCTCTGCCCCAGCGCGCCCCTCCAAGTCCCACTTCTTCCACTCCTTCACGAAATCCAAATCCAAAACCTCCACACGCGGCCACGTCAGCACCATATCCGAATCCTCCGACGAATCCCCCTCTCCCATACCCCACAGCGCCCCCGCCCCAGCCCTCCTCCCTCACGCCGCTACAATTAACACCGTTCCCCAACACGACCACTCCTCTAAAGACCCAGCATACACAGAGGCAAACACCGAGGTCGCCTTTCCAGGAGCTAAGTCCGTGGGGCTGAGGCAGCGCTTGTCTGGCTTCACCTCCTCCTCCAAGGCTTCCCGCAGAGCCTCGGAGCAGCAGCAAGGGCCAGCGCACGCGCTGCCGAAGCAGCGCACTGTGTCGTCCTTTTTGCCGCGCCGCCGCCACTCCTCCACTGAGAATGCCCCTGCGAGGGCCAGTAAGAGCTCCGAGGGTGCTGCTGCGTCTCCCCTGCCGAAATCCGGGAGTGTAACGGGGGGTGGGGCAGGAAGTGGGGGTTCGGGAGCAAGTTCAGGGGACGATGGGGGCGAGAAGGGGGAAGGGACGGGGGCGGTGGGGGGGTTGGGCGGAGGGGAGAGCCTGGTGCCGCTGTCGTGGTTTGATGGGGATGTTAAGGGGGTGGCTTCTAAGGGGGATATGCCAGCAGCACTGGGGGGAGGGGTGGTGGTGGAGCAGTGGTATGGCGTGCCGGCCCATGAGCTGAACGGGATTCTCTTCAAGCCTGACTCCGACTTCTATGCTGAGTTCACTGCCGGTGAGATGCGGTGCCGTGTGGTGTAGTGTGATGCGGTGTGGGGCGTTATTTTGCGGTGCGGTGTGATGTGGTGTGGTTTGATGTTCAGGAGGAAATGCCAGTGGGAAGGGTGCAAGAGGACAAGGTACGTGCTGAATTGACTCTGCAATCGTCCGCATAGGCTTGACTTGTGTGGTGGGAGGAGGAGGCTGTTGAGGAAAGTGCAGCGAGGGGCGGTACAGGGCTAGGTGAGCTAGACGAGGAGAGAATGCACCAAATGTGATGCTTTTCCCTTTCCATGCAAATTGAAGGGTGTAAGCTTAAGGCCGATAATATGGGGCTCAGTCAGATCGTCTCGTCGTCTAACCAAGCCGAAACACTACCCTGCTGGCTCTCCTTCTCTCTACTTGCCCCTTATCCCTGCAGAGCGCAAGGTATCTCAGCTTGAAACAGGACCCTGGATTGAAGGTGATGCGGCTGCTGTTCCCTCCCTAGCCGACTCCCTCCCCGCCACCATCACAACGGCCAACTGGCCCGCCTCTCCTCCAATCAGCTCGCGGGTGGTCCGATACATGACTGCGCCCTCCTCTTTGGTCAAGTCTGTACTCGCTACAGAGCTGATGCGTTACAGCAGGGCAGACGCGGGGGGGTATCTGGTGGAGGTGTATGTGGCGACGCCTGACGTGCCGTATGGCAACACGTTCCGCACTGAGATGCAGTTCTGCATCACACCGGGACCAGGTGAGATGGTTCAGATGACACCTGCACCAGGTGAGATGGTTCAGATGACACCTGCACCAGGTGGGGTAGCTAGCTCTGCTGCCCTTTCTCTTCCTGCAGTCATGTCTCTGTAATAGCTTGATAGACGTTTCCTTTCCACCCACTCCCCGTGCCCCCCTGAACATGATCGCAGACGGCAGCAGCTGCCAGCTGCGTGTGTCATGGGCGCCGTGCTTCCTGCAGAGCACCATGATGAAGGGCATGATCGAGAACGGCATGCGCTCTGGGCTCAAAGACACCTACGTTGCTTACCAGACGGTGAGAAACAGGAGTGTGCTAGTAACCAGACAGTAACACATGTGCACAGACTTCCAGGTGGTTAGAGATATGTGCGCTGGTAAACAGATGAAGAGCATGATTAAAAACGGCATGCGTTCTGGCCGAAGAGGACACATATGTCACTTACCATGGCGCAAGAAAAGACGTGCGCTGGTTGTTTTTGAGAATTCTCAAAAACACCCTCAAGGACACATACGTCACTTATCAGAACGTACGTCACTTATCAGGACTGTACGTCACGTATCAGAACGTAGCACAGTCCTGACAACTGCTGACACGCTGCTGACAACTGCTGACTCAATGCTGACAACTGCTGACATAGTGCTGACTCACCATGCAGTTCTGTGCCGTAGCTTGATGCCAGGTGGATTCCCTGAATCGACTCACAACAAACATGCTCCATTTCCTCCCTCGTTTCTCTGTTCCCCTGTCCCCACAGATCCTGTCCAAATACGCTGCACCTGCCACCACCCCTCTCGGCTCCTCCTCCGCATCTGCCCTCCTCCCCGAGCCTCCGCCGAAGCAGCCCCTGATGGCTCGGCTGTTCAATATCCTGGGGCACTTTTCCATGCTGCTCTTCTTCGTCTCCCTTACAGTGCTCCCCACGCACTTCATACAGCGCGCCAAGGGCCTGCCAGGCGTGCAGTTTCTGCTGCTGGACCTGCCTGATGGGGTGATGGAGCTGCTGTGCACGGCTGTCATTGTGCTCTCTGCTGAGAGGGCTCTGTTTCGTCTAAGGAATATCATCACTTCACGGCTTCTAAGAAGTGAGTAATAAGGGAAGGATCAGGGGAAATGGGGAGTGGGAAAAGAGGGAGAAGGGGGTAGGGTAGGGCGGCCTGCCAGTGCCAGGGATGCAAGCTGTTGCTGCTGGACCGGCCTGATGGGGTGATGGAGCTGCTGTGCACGGCTGTCATTGTGCTCTCTGCTGTGTCGAGAGGGCGCTTTTCCGATTGAGGAATGTTATCACCTCGCGGCTCTTGAAAAGCGAGTGTGTGTGTGTGTGTGTGTGTGTGCGTAAGTGTGTGGGGGAGAAAGGGGCATGCCAGGGGTGTGGGTGCTGCTGCTGCTCGACCTACCAGATGTGCTGGTGGGGCTTCTCTGCACTGCTGCGATTGTGCTTATTGCCAAACGCAATCACAATTGCTGAGAGGTGCTGCGAGGTGCTGAGAGGTACTGCAAGATGTGGGGCAAGAGCAACCCTCAGAAGTTGAGGATTTCTTTTCTGTCTCTTCCCCACACCTGTCTTTGTCTTACAGGGGGGGACCATGGGAAGAAGGCGGAGGGAGAGGGGTGGCTGTTGACAGTGACGCTGGTGCAAGGGGAGGGCGTGGGGGAGGCAGGGGGACTCGGCGGCAAGAGCGATCCCTATGTGGTGTTCACATGTAATGGCAAGACACGCACAAGCTCTGTCAAGCTGCAGACCAACCGCCCGGTGTGGAACGGTGCGTGCACATGTGTATGTCGGTGGATGGTGTACAAACAGAGTTGTGTGTGTGTGAAGGTGGATGGTGTACAAACAGAGTTGTGTGTGTGTGAAGGTGGATGGTGTACAAACAGAGTTGTGTGTGTGTGAAGGTGGATGGTGTACAAACAGAGTTGTGTGTGTGTGAAGGTGGATGGTGTACAAACAGAGTTGTGTGTGTGTGAAGGTGGATGGTGTACAAACAGAGTTGTGTGTGTGTGAAGGTGGATGGTGTACAAACAGAGTTGTGTGTGTGTGAAGGTGGATGGTGTACAAACAGAGTTGTGTGTGTGTGAAGGTGGATGGTGTACAAACAGAGTTGTGTGTGTGTGAAGGTGGATGGTGTACAAACAGAGTTGTGTGTGTGTGAAGGTGGATGGTGTACAAACAGAGTTGTGTGTGTGTGAAGGTGGATGGTGTACAAACAGAGTTGTGTGTGTGTGAAGGTGGATGGTGTACAACAGAGTTGTGTGTGTGTGAAGGTGGATGGTGTACAAACAGAGTTGTGTGTGTGTGAAGGTGGATGGTGTACAAACAGAGTTGTGTGTGTGTGAAGGTGGATGGTGTACAAACAGAGTTGTGTGTGTGTGAAGGTGGATGGTGTACAAACAGAGTTGTGTGTGTGTGAAGGTGGATGGTGTACAAACAGAGTTGTGTGTGTGTGAAGGTGGATGGTGTACAAACAGAGTTGTGTGTGTGTGAAGGTGGATGGTGTACAAACAGAGTTGTGTGTGTGAAGGTGGATGGTGTACAAACAGAGTTGTGTGTGTGTGAAGGTGGATGGTGTACAAACAGAGTTGTGTGTGTGTGAAGGTGGATGGTGTACAAACAGAGTTGTGTGTGTGAAGGTGGATGGTGTACAAACAGAGTTGTGTGTGTGTGAAGGTGGATGGTGTACAAACAGAGTTGTGTGTGTGTGAAGGTGGATGGTGTACAAACAGAGTTGTGTGTGTGTGAAGGTGGATGGTGTACAAACAGAGTTGTGTGTGTGTGAAGGTGGATGGTGTACAAACAGAGTTGTGTGTGTGTGAAGGTGGATGGTGTACAAACAGAGTTGTGTGTGTGAAGGTGGATGGTGTACAAACAGAGTTGTGTGTGTGAGAAGGTGGCCCTTTTTCAGCCCTCAACTCCCTCTGCTTCCTTCCTTTTGTATTGTCTCCCATTTCCAACCCCTCTACTCCCCCTCAGAGGTGCTGTCCTTTGACGCGTTTGAGGACCCGCCCTCAACACTAGACGTGGAGATCTTTGACTACGACGGCCCTTTTTCCGCGCCAACAGCCCTGGGGCAGGCAGAGGTGGACCTCGTGAGATCGAGCGCCCAGGAGCTCTCAGACCTCTGGGTGCTGCTGCTGGGAGGGCAACAAGCCCTTCCCCCACCCCAACTCCCTCCCCCCTCCTCTCCCCATCCCCTTCCCCCACCCCAACTCTCTCCCCTCTCCTCTCCCCATCCCCTTCCCCCATACCTCCAGAGGTGCTGTCCTTTGACGCGTTTGAGGACCCGCCCTCAACACTAGACGTGGAGATCTTTGACTACGACGGCCCTTTTTCCGCGCCAACGGCCCTGGGGCAGGCAGAGGTGGACCTCGTGAGATCGAGCGCCCAGGAGCTCTCCGACCTCTGGGTGCCGCTGCAGGGAGGGCCGAGGGCAGAGGCGCGCAAGGGAGGCAAGGCACCGGGGCAGGGGCAGGGGCAGGGGCAGGGGCCGGGGCAGGGGGTGGAGGCGAGGCTGCAGCTGAGGGTGCTGCTCACGAGTACGAGTGAGGCGTCTCCCCCGATGATTCTTGAGAGGATCAGCAAGCAAGTCGGCAAGGAGGTGGGTTCAAACAAAGGGGTGGGCTGAAAGAAAAAAGGGGAGGGGAAGGGAAGGGGGGGGGGAGTGGGGGGAGGGGGAGGGGAATGGACATGTTCGCTGGTCGTGATTTGGAGCTACAGATGCTGGCCCCTCTCTTCTTTCCAACTTACCGTTGCAGCTAAAGCCTTCCCTTCCCTCCAATAAGAACTCTCCTCTTTCCTTGTGTGCTGTGCTCACTAACTTCCCTTTCTCTCCATCCTCGCCTCCCCTGTCCAACCAGCTCCTGCGTATCTCCGACGAGAAGAACACGGCTTTCCATAACTTATTCGACCTGCCCGACAACGAGCCGCTTATCAACGACTTCTCCTGCGCTCTCAAGAAGAACCTCCTCTCGCAGGTGAGCGGCTGGGATTGCAGGTGAGAGGCTGGGATCGCAGGTGAGCGGCTGGGATCGCAGGTGAGCGGCTGGGATTGCTCAAGAAGAACCTCCTCTCCCAGGTGGGGCCTGACACTGTTTTTTGAGAATTCTCAAAACACAGATCCAGGTAGGGCCTGAGTTCCTGCTCCCAGTTTTGATCCCATGTAGAGCATCAAAGGACTAGCTCTCACCCCTCCTCTACCGTACTCCCTGATCTCCACAACCTTCACCCTTCCTCTTCCTCCCCTCCCCTCCCCTCCTCACAGGGCCGGCTGTTCCTGTCGCCCCGCCTGCTAGCCTTACATGCATCCCTCTTCCGAGTGCGCATAAAGCTAGCATAATTGACGAGCTCGAGCTGCTTGTACCCTTAACCCCTCTGCCTATACCCCTACCCTCTGCTAATACCACCCCACAGGGCCGCCTGTTCCTCTCCCCGCGCCTCATGGCCTTCCACGCGTCTCTCTTCCGAGTGCGCATAAAGGTGGCAGTGCGATGGGAGGACATAGACGAGCTGAAGGACAACGCGCCCTCCATCCACTCCATCAACCCATGGACTTGCCATGCTCATACTGCCTAATCGTTACCCCCTCTCTCCCACTTTCCCTCTCTCTCCTCTCCCCAACCTCCCTCCCCTCCCCTCCCTCCCGTCCACTCACTTCCCCCATCACAGGGTCGTCTCTTCCTCTCGCCCCGCCTCCTAGCCTTCCACGTGTCCCTCTTCCGAGTGGGCATAAAGCTGGCGGTGCGATGGGAGGACATAGACGAGCTCAAGCTGCCAATACCCTTACCCTCTCGTTCCCATTATGCCCCTCTCACCATTGCTACAGGGTCGCCTCTTCCTCTCCCCGCGCCTCCTAGCCTTCCATGCGTCTCTCTTTCGAGTGCGCATAAAGCTAGCAGTGCGTTGGGAGGATATAGACGAGCTGAAGGGGACCGCGCCCTCCATCCACTCCATCAACCCATGGACTTGCCACGCTCATACTGCCTCACCGTTACCCCCTCTCTCCCACACTCCCCTTCTCTCCTCTCCCCAACCTCCCTCCCCTCCCCTCCCTCCCTTCCCCTCCCTCCCCCCCTCACAGGGTCGCCTCTTCCTCTCCCCGCGCCTGCTAGCCTTCCATGCATCCCTCTTTCGAGTGCGCATAAAGCTAGCAGTGCGATGGGAGGACATAGACGAGCTCAAGGAGAATGCGCCCTCCATCCACTCTATCAACCGCCTCCTCAACCCCTCCATCACCATCTACGTCAAGCCGGGCCGCGGCGGCCCCGACACGCGCAGCGCCGCGTACGGGATCGATCCTTCAGGGCGGCTCAAGATTCGCTTCCAGTCCTTTGCTCGCCCCACCATTGCCTTCCGGTCAGTGTTTCAGCCCACATTACCTTCTGGTAAGTGCGTGCGCAGTCAGTGCCCATCCCGCACTCCATCCACTCCATCAACCGCCTCCTCAACCCCTCCATCACCATCTACGTCAAGCCTGGTCGCGGCGGCCCCGACACGCGCAGCGCCGCGTACGGGATCGATCCATCAGGGCGGCTCAAGATTTGCTTCCAGTCCTTTGCTCGCCCCACCATTGCCTTCCGGTCAGTGTTTCAGCCCACATGACCTTCTGGTAAGTGCGTGCGCAGTCAGTGCCCATCCTGCACTCCATCCACTCCATCAACCGCCTCCTCAACCCCTCCATCACCATCTACGTCAAGCCTGGTCGCAGTGGTCCTGACACGCGCAGCGCCGCGTACGGGATCGATCCTTCAGGGTGGCTCAAGATCAGATTCCAGTCCTTTGCTCGCCCCACCATTGCCTTCCGGTCAGTGTTTCAGCCCACGTTACCTTCTGGTGAGTGAGTGCGCGGTCAGTGTCCACTGTCCAGCCCGCCCGCCCTCCATCCCGACACACGCAGCGCTGCGACATTGCGATAGTGTTGCCTTGGCCCTTAGATCTGGGTAAGAGAGTGCAACATTCGTCTTTCTACCCACCATTTCCCCATTCCCTCTTTCTCCCATCTGCTGGCAGTTAGCAGCGTTGTGGCGCCACAGGGTGCTGCCCCCCGAGCAGGCTGTGATGCCCACAGGCCTACTTATCCCTCCCCAACTCCCCCCCATCCGCCCCATCCCTCCCCATCCCATCCCCTCCCCATCTCTCGCCCTCTCACTCCTCCTCCCAGGTTGATAACAGCACTATGGCGCCACAGGGCGCTATCCCCCGAGCAGGCTGTGATGCCCCTAATTATCCCCCCCATCCGCCCCATCCCTCCCCATCCCATCCCCTCCCCATCTCTCGCCACAGGGCGCTATCCCCCGAGCAGGTTGTGATGCCCCCTCTCTCTCTCTCTCCCCACCCCACCCTTTCTCCCTGCCCTTCCTCTGCCACTCCTCCCAGGCTGATCACAGCGTTGTGGCGCCACAGGGCGCTGCCCCCCGAGCAGCAGCTAGAGAGAGCCAAGGAGGCCGCCAGCGCTGCCGCTGCTGCGGAGGCAGGCGGGGCAGATGGAGCGGCAGCGACAGGAGCAGGGGGGGCGGGGGCAGCGGCAGGGGCAGGGGCGGCGGCAGGGGAAGGGATGGTGCGAAGCGCTTCCCAAGGCGGGGTTGGGAGTGGAGGCGGTGGGGGTGTGGGTGGAGCAGCAGCAGCAGGGGGGAAAGGAGGGGCTGGAGGGGGTGTTGTTGCTGGCAGTGGTGGTGGGGCAGTGGGGAGTGACGGTGAGGGGGTGGAGGAGCAGGGAGGAGTGTGCACCGACGTGTATGAGATGATTGACTGCATCAGCACCGCGGTACCCATGACGGTGCGTGGGTGATGGTTGGATTGAAGAGTGTGTGCGTGTGTGTGTGTTTGCGTGTGTATTGTTTTTTGAGGCACCTCAAAAGGCATGCAGGTGAGAAGGCAGTGCCCTCAGACGTGTATGAGATGATTGACTGCATCAGCACCGCGGTACCCATGACGGTTACATGGGAGGGCTTGTTCTTAGTAACTGCATCTAATATCCGCACTCGCACACTCGCTCCCACTCACTCACACCTACACTCGCACCGACACATGCCCACGCTCACACCCGCACTCACACTCACTGACACCCACTCACACCCACTCACACCACACACACCCACACACTCACAGGTGGAGCAGTTCCTGGCGATGACCGAGCAGCAGCAGCTGCAGCACAAGGCAAGGTGGCCGACACAAACTCAACGCTCATGCCCGCTCGTGCCCCCACTCACTCACCCACAATCACAGGTGGACCAGTTCCTGGCGATGACCGAGCAGCAGCAGCTGCAGCGCAAGGTGGCAGACGCCACCGGCCAGACCCACCTGGAGGTCTCCGATTGGGTGGCAGTGGACGGTGCGCCGCCCGGTGCCGCCCGGCGGCAGCGCAACATCAAGTTCAAGTTCTCCCGCCAGATGTCGCCGTTTGGAACCACCGTGTCGGGCGTGCAGCAGGCCACTAAGGATGCGACACCTGGCATGTGCACGTGGGCGACGCTGGAGGAGTCCATCACTCTGCACCAAGTGCCCTTTGGGGACTACTTCCAGGTGCGTGCCTGTGAGGAGATTTTATTACTAGTACTATTTTTATTATATTATTATTATTACAATATTTTCCAAGGATGATGTTTTTCAGTTTCTCCGTAGTATGTGCTTGTGGGCAATGCTGGAGGAGTCGATTGCTCTGCACTAAGTGCCCTTTGGAGACTACTTCTAGCTGCGTGCCTGATACTGTGCTGCCTCGAGGACTTAGGTAAATTTTGCAGGAACTGGATTGGAGTTGGGTGAGCATTAGTTATAGTGGTTGTTTGCATGTGGTTTTATGGTATGTACTCTGAATGTATATGTTGTGTATTGCAGGTGGAGACCAAGAGGGAGCTCAAGTCACAGCAGCTTCTGAATGGGAAGGAGGATGTGAGTGCGGAGGATAAGGCACATAGACTTAATGAGCAGGTGTCTGAACTCAAGACAACTGTGGGCATCACATGGCAAAAGCAGGCAAATGAACGCACCCGTGTCAAGATAAAGGCGAATGTTGGTGAGTGGTTCAAGGAGCACAATAAGAGAGTGCTGGACATGGTAGTCAGGGAGGCTATCGCAGCCACTCAAGGTTAATTTGTTTTACAAAGGTGGTATCTCTGGCAAAGGAAATAAGTTATCGTGTTAAGGCAAGAATGAGGGGCTCTAGAAGACTTCCTGGATACTGGACGGAAAGGGCACTAACCTGGAGATCGCCAAGTGGATGGGAAATTATGGGTTCCCACTGGCATCAGGATACAGGATCTATGACCTGGTTTGCTAGTTACCATAAAATTGTAATAAGACTGATATGAGCAATTATGGAATATGCCATTACTAAATCGTGTTTCATTCTTGTGTTTTGCCGTCAGCGATGGTTTGTTAGCGGAAATTTCAATCCGAGTCTCTCTGGCGGCAGTCGCAGGTTGAGATCCCTCCCTGACCTACAAGTGAAGGGAACTCCCTCAGGAACTCCCTCCCTCACCACCAACCTCGGGAATTGCAGGCAGCAGAGAGCATTGGGAAGAAGATAGCTTAGGGAACTCCGAATCTGCAGGATATCAAAATCTTATGTGGAGAACCCAAGCAGTAAGTGGTCAGTCGGTGGAAGTGCAAAAATAAATCTGAGTTCGCCTACGATGACTTCTCCTTTTGATGTCTTTAAGATGTCCTTGGGAGCTGCAAGTGCTCGCGGTGCGTCGCATGGAGGACTGAGGCGTCGCAATCAGGACTGAGAATATTGCGACTTGAAAGCACTATTGAGGAGAACCTTTTAGGAGCATCATTCAGAACCACCTTCCAGGAGTCGCGCACTGTTCATTAGGCGAGTGAGATCCCAAGGCGAGACGCTGAGGCGATCCTCTCACTCTACCGTTTACCGTTCCGCTCGAGTCACTTGAGATCGAAAATCGCCTTTCACTCGAGTGTCACCGCTCGCCTTTCATGCTTCTCCCGATTTGATTCCCGATCGCGAACCCCTGAAGATCCGTCGATTGCAATCCGACGGTCATCCCGTCGTCATTTGATTGCAATCCGACGGTAGTCCGAGTGCCATCCGACAGCCAATCACAATGATGACCAGAGGGCCCCGGGGGGGCCCGCGTCGGCCGCCGCATTTTCCGGCGGGTAAGGCGGGAGGCGACTGGTTCGCGTCGCTTCGCGGTCGAACTCTCATGTCCATCGCTCTCGTCGCCGTCGTCGCCTCCACCAGGTACCGCTTGTCGCTCGTCCCTCGTCGCCGTCGCCGGCGTCGTCGCAGTCGTCGCCGTCGTCGCAGTCGTCTCCGTCGTCGCAGTCGTCTCCGTCGTCGCAGTCGTCTCCCTGCTCTAACAACCGATGGCTAACTCAGCATATCTGCTCCTCCGTAGATCCATGATCCATCCACATGTCAAACCACGCCCAGGAGAACCTGGCTCCCTCGCCGCACCTCGCCGCTCTCCCCAGGGATATGAGTGGATGTGGTTCGCCCTTCGCTTTCCCCACCTACCGTCCATCTTCCCACCACATCCAAACCCGTTCCCCCACCTTCCACATCCACCTCCCCCCATATCCACCCGCTTTTCCCACATTCACACCCCCCACATCCACCTTCCCCCACATCCACCTTCCTGCAGGCGCACCTGGTTCCCCTCGGCGCAGCTGGCGGCGCTGCTGGTGGAGCGGGGCGGGTGCGAGTTCCCCATCCAGCTGAACGCGCGAGGCGCGCTGGAGGGTCCGTGGGTGAATCATTCCTCGCACGACCACCACGCCCTCCTCGACCTGGTCTCTCGCTCCTCCTCGTCGTCCTCCTCGTGGGATCGGCGGCACGCGTTTGCGTCGGACGCGGACGGGGGGCGGGTGGAGGAGGCGGAGTTTTACTCCCCTGCGCGGTACCAGGCGATGGGGAAGGTGGTGGCGGCGGAGGAGGGGGAGGACGACGGCAAGGCGCCGTGGGGCCACGTGGTGGAGGGGCTGCTGACGGCCGGCACGCTCAGCACGGGGAATCGGCTCACGCTGGCGTTTGCACGGCTGGCTGAGAGGTTCCTGGCGTCGTGGGTGCGGATTGATGTGAGTTGACAATGGGGGAAAGGGGGTGTGGGAAGCTATCTGGATAAATGTGAGTGAGGGGGCGGAGGGGTGGGTGGGGGGTTGAGAGTGGTGGTGAGGGATAGGGGATAAGAGGGGATGGAGAGATCATTTCCTGGCGCATAAGTGTGTGCTCTCATACACTGTGCCCTTGTGTTCCTCTGTTCCTGCGCCTTTGTGCGTGTGTGCATGTGTCCCTGTGTGTGTGCGAACAAGCAGGGCATCAGCAAGGGGTTGGGAAAGGCGGGCATGGTGAAGCAGATCATGTTCCCAGCCATGGCCGTCAACCCCAAGGTACCCCTCCCCACTCCACCGCATCCATCTGTGTCTCACTCCTCTGCTTCTCCCTCACGGCACTTATCAGCACCATTCCCCCCCTCCCCCACCAAGTCCCATACGTCGATCCGCAATCCCATGCATTCCCCCCCCACCACCCGCTTTCACTGCCCCCCATCTGCAGATGCAGCCATGCCTGGCGCATGTGCGCATAGTGCTAGGTCGTGTGTACTTCCGCTACGGCTCCTTCCTGGAAGATCCACGCAAGCTCAAGCGTGTGAACCTGGCAGTGAAGATGATCCTGCATGCCATCACTGCATACGACCTCCGATGTACGTCCGTGTCTATACTATCCCCTGTTATCAAATATCTTTTGCTATGACCTGGAACCAGTGGGGTGAACGTCAGAGGGCTTTTAAGGCGCCTCAAACGCATCATCCTGGCAGTCAAGACGATCCTCCACGCCATCACTGCATACGACCTCCAATGTACGTCTGTGTCCACACATTATCTGTTGTGACCTGAAATTAGTGGGGTGGAAGCTAAGGTGTGCGTCATCACTGCATACGACCTTAGATGTATGTCCTAATTCCAGGCGTTTTTTCTTCTGTCACACAACCTCAATCCGAACCAGGCTATTGTGTTCGCTTATCATTTGTAAACCCATCCTCAACTCCCCAAGCAACTCCTTTCCCATCTCCTCCCAACAGCACTGCGAGCGGAGCTATTCATGAACGCGTGTGACAAGCCCGTCAGCTTCGACAACTCGCTCTCCTCCGGCTCCTCCAGCTGCTCCAGCTGCTCGACCTGCCATCATTCTCCCCTCAGTGCCTCCTTCCCCCACCCCCTCTTCCCCCACTCCCTCTTCCCCCACCCCCTCTTCCCTCCCAACCACTCCCCCCACAACAGCACTGCGTGCGGAGCTATTTATAGACGCGTGTGACAACCCATCAGCTTTGACAACTCGCCCTCCTCTGGCTGCTCCAGCTGCTCCGCTCAGCTCTGCTCACATACGCACGCTCTACCTGCCAATATCTCCCCTCAATACCTCCTTCCTCCTTCTCCCCTCTCCCTCCCCTTCTCCTTCCCCCTTCCCACAACAGCACTGCGAGCGGAGCTATTCATAAACGCGTGTGACAAGCCCGTGAGTTTCGACAACTCGCTCTCCTCGGGCTGCTCCGGCTTCCCCGTCTTCAGCACGCAGTGGACCCCCGGCTCCACCGACATTCTCTTCCCCGACCCCCTCGACCTCGACTATTCCCCACCACAGCACACTGAGCACGTGCCCTGGGGCAAGGTCCGTCCCCTTTCTTTAATCTGTTAACGCTTTTAAGCCTTTCGTGGCGAGTTGAGCACACCCTGCTCTTTCAGCACGCAGTGGACGCCCGGCTCCACGGCCATCCTCTTCCCCGACCCCCTCGACCTCGACTACTCGCCCCCTGTTCATGCGGAGCATGTGCCCTGGGCCAAGGTCAGTCCCTAGTGTCTCTTGGGCTGCTTGCCGAACCATGTCTCAGATAGGCTAGTCAGCACGCAGTGGACTCCCGGCTGCACGGACATTCTCATCTCGGACCCCCTTGACCTTGACTAGTCCTCTCCACAGCATACTGAGCATGTGCCCTGGCACAAGGTGCGTCCCTTGTGCTCTGGTCAAGGCATGTCATTCACATCGCAGGCTAGTCTACACAAAAGCCGTACAACCTCATCTCACAGAAGGAGGGAAGGGCGGTGTGGCGGGGTCGTGGGTTTGAGTTGCAGCTGAAACCGTACAACTGGGCCTCCAGCTTCTATAGAAAGGCCACATGAAGCGAGGTTGTTTTTGAGACGTCTCAATAACAACCTCGCTTCAAGTTGCAGCTGAAGCCGTACAACCGGGCCTCCAGCTTCTGTAGAAAGCCCCCCTCTCTGCCTCCCTCCCACCCCTTCTCATCCGTTCCTTGGACCTCTGTGCACCTGTCTGTCACGTGCTGCCTCCCCACCACATGCTGCCTCCCCACCACATGCTGCAGAAGGAAGGCAGGGCAGTGTGGCGGGGCAGTGGGTTTGAGTTTCAGCTGAAGCCCTACAACTGGGCCTCCAGCTTCCGCCTGCGCCTGCACCGAACCTCCGACTCTCGCCCGGACCTGCTGGACGCTCGGATCTCCAGATTTGGCCCGATAGACCTGGCCGACCCTAAAGAGTTGCTCAAGAAGTGAGTGGTTCAGTGCGGTGCACAGGTGGTATGTCTTTGTGCTGTGTGATTTCTGTTTTGAGGAAGCACCATGCCATGTGGGAAGTGCCATGTGGGGAAGTGCCATGTGGGGAAGTGCCATGTGGGGAAGTGCCATGTGGGGAAGTGCCATGTGGGGAAGTGCCATGTGGGGAAGTGCCATGTGGTGAAGTGCCATGTGGTGAAGTGCCATGTGGTGCACTTCCCTTGTGTCCCTACCCGTTCACCCCCCAACCCGCTGCTCTCTTTCCCCGCCTCAGGCACGGGTTCGTGTTGGCGGAGGAGATGGAGGAGGGGATGAAGGAGTGCGCGTTCAAGTATATCCTCCCTCCCTTCCTCCTTCTCATCCCCCTCCCTTCCTCCTTCTCATCCCCCTCCCTTCCTCCTTCTCATCCCCCTCCCTTCCTCCTTCATCCCCCTCCCTTCCTCCTTTTCATCCCCCTCCATTCCTCCTTCTCATCCCCCTCCGTTCCTCCTTCTCGTCTCCCGCCCATCCTCTCGAGGGTCTCTTTCCCGCAGGAACGGGTTTGTATTGGCGGAGGAGATGGAGGAGGGGGTGAAGGAGAGCACGTTCAAGTATGTGGTTGTGGTGGATGAGATGGTGGGCTCTCGTGACACGTGTCGCGCTCTGAGTGGCCAGCAGGCCATCATTCGGCACCACTCGGGCTTCATGCAGTATTTTGAGCCGCTCATGCTGCCCGGAGTACACTACATCCCCGTTACACACAGGTCAGTGCTGCCTGGAGTTCAGTACATCCCCAATACATATGTGCATGCTTCTTCTTTCCCTCCATTGTGCATCTGTACCAAGAAAACTCATCACCTGCACCTACCCTTCTCCCCCATTATTCGTGTGCTGTCATGTGTCGAGCACTGCAGCTTCACGGATTTGGTGGCAGCAGTGGAGTGGATGAGGCAGCACGACGATGCAGTGCACACCGTGCTGCTCAACGCAAACGAGCTCGCCTCTCATGTGTGCACGTGGCAAAGCCGAGTCCACTACTGGGCCGTACTCCTTGCCAAATATGCCGCTAGAGCCATGGAAACCCCGCAAGCTGTTGTCGCACCGACTGTTTGTCAAGGCGGCAAGGCTGTTCTTTCCGCGGAATGGGCGGGTGGAAATGTGACGAAGCCGAGTTGTAAGGTTGAAGGCGGGGGTCTGTGCTCGGATTTTTGTGTTACGGGTGTGCCGGAGGAGAAATGGACGTGGTTGGATGCGAAGGAAAGCTTAGCTTCTGTTGAGATTCATGATCCTGTGGGACATGCTCAAGCTAGGGTAGCATCAGAGTAGGACCATTTTAGTTTTTTCATTCCAATTGAGCTGATTATGTAGTCATAACCATTTTTCGCTTGTAACTTTCCGCCTTTATATGATTTATAGTGGTCAAATAGCGGGCATCTATTTGAAGTAGCGGGTCGATTCGAAAGTGTCATTCCCGCCTCCCACACCAGGCTTTTCATCGCCAGCTTGCTTCGCCATCTTTGCGACGCTTCGCGACCGTCGCCAGCCTCATCCATTTAGCTGTTCCAGATGCTATGTAGCTGCAGGATCTGGTAGCAGGAGCTGTTACAGGTCTGCTAGCAGGAGCTTGGCTACGAACCTGTATCTTATATATCCCGGTAGAGGTCCTTTTATGTGGACCTGCGAGATATCTTTCCATTATTCCTGGATGTGCGACTCCTATGGTTTTTCCCGCGACGATTCTTGGGATATTCTGATTTTTTCATAGGCTTTATCGTAAAGCCGACGCGGGTTTTTCCGGTAGCAGATTCATTGTTGCGGTTACTAGTGACGAAACCGCAGCCATGTCGGGGGGTTTCTTCCGAGGGACCAGTGCGGATCAGGACAGCAGATTCTCCAACAAGAACGCGAAGCTGCTTAAATCGCAGAAGTTCGCACCGGAGCTTGATGAGCCGGCAAGTGCACTAGATGTTTCTTGTTGCCGGGGTTCACGCTTCTTTAACCACTTTTCTTTTACGCATTTAGCGAGCGGTGATGGACTTATTTCCAGCCGGTTTTTTTTTTTTTTTTTTTTTTTTTTTTTTGGGTCCTTTTTTTTTCCGCAGGTGGATATGACCAAGGTAAAGAAGGAGGTGATGCAGCCATGGATAGCCAAGAGGGTGACTGAGCTTCTGGGCGTGGAGGATGAAGTGCTCATCAATTTTATTTACAGCCTGCTAGAGGGCAAGGTATGGGAATTACTTACGAGCCTCTCAACACGCCATTTCCTTACAAAGGTCTTGCTGTCGTTTCACTTTTTATCGAAGGGTTTCTTTTCTTTGGCGAGGAGGCTGTTCAGAATCTTAGTTAAGTCTCGGTTCAAGAGCTTATTCCGATCGGTTGTGATCTTGTCGACAGCTTCGGCATCCACATGGCTTGGATCACTGCCCAGTCCCGCCATGGCATCAGGGTCGCCATGATTGCAATGATCGATGACTCATCACACTGCAAGGGACATCTGCTCTGCAGGATAACCCTGCTTGCCGTTCACCTTCGGTGCAGCAGGAAAGCCAGCCATGGCTGGCGGACTGGTAACCCTCCTGTTACCGTTCTGTTATCTTTGCCTGCCTCCTGCGTACCATTTGCTCGGAGCACTTGCAGAACAGCCGTCGCCGTTGTTCTTTTTCTCTGCCTCTCCTCTCCGCGTCCCACAAACCCTTCCTCCTCTCGCGTGCTGCAGAAGGTGGACGGCAAGCAGGTCCAGATTCAGTTGACCGGTTTCATGGAGCGCCACACGGCGCGCTTCATGCGCGAGCTCTGGTGCCTGCTGCTCAGCGCGCAGGCCAACGTCAGCGGCATCCCGCAGAAGTTTCTCGACGAGAAGGCGGAGGAGACGAGGAAGAAAAAGGTGCGTCGCGCTCGCTTGCTCGCTTTCTTTTTAGTCTCCCCTTCTCGATCGTGTTTGTTAATCTGATCCAATCTTGTCTAATATGATTAGCTTTTGCGTCCTCCTGTTTTTTTTTACGCTGCAGGAAGCGGAGCAGCGCATTTTGTCGGAGATTGGGCGCAAGAAGGGGATGCAGCAGGGCTCGTTGCTGGGCCCTGGGACTGCCGCTGCTTCCATCCCCGTGAGTCGCGGTTGGGAGTGGTCAGAGACCCGCTACCACGAGTACTGACGCGCGACCTTAGTAGCTTAGCAAACGACAGCACACTAGCGCTCCCTTCGCGTCTCTCCAGCCTGCGTCCAACGAGTGCCTTTTAATGTCTCCCTCTCTTCGCGGGTACCTCCCTGTTATGCGTGTGTGCGCTGCTGGTGCGCAGGGCGTGGACGTGGAAGCTGCTCGACGGAAGGCCGCAGAGGCAGCAGCGCGCCTCACGGCTGCCCTCCTCGGACATCCCGCTCCCGCCGCCGCTGCTGCTGCTCCCGCTCCTGCTCCTGCGCCTGCGGTACCAGCGCCGGCTGACCCAGCCGCTACTGCTGCCGGCAACGCTGCCGTCGCCGCCGCCACGGCCGCTGCGGCTGCGTTCACGGCGCAGGCTGCTAAGCTGGCGCAGGAGAAAGAAGGAGCCGCAGCAGCAGCTGCTGCTGCTACAGCTGCTGGTGGCGATGGTGGTGCCACAGGAACAGGTCAAGGGCAGGAGGATGAGAGGCCAGATGGTGTAGGAGCCGCTGTTGCTGCTGCTGTTGCTGATGATGACGATGATGCAGGTGGTGGCGAAGGAAAAGCGGAGCAGGATCAGGCCCCCTTGCCCCCCCCTCCTCGAAACCGCTCCCCCGCCCGCCGTCGCCATCGCTCCCGCTCTTTCTCCCCCGAGCGCCGCTCCCGGTCCCCACCCCGCCGCCGCCGCTCCGCGTACCGCTCCCCCCGGCGCTCCCCCCCGCCGTCGTCCTACCGCAGCAGCCGCTACCGCTCCCCGCCTAGAAGCCGCGGGTACCAGCGCGACGGGCGGTCGCCGCCAGGGGACTATCGGCGCAGAGGGGGGGGGTCCCGATCACCCCCCCCTCGTCGTTCGTCCCGGCAGGAGGAGTCGTTTGTGCGGTACCCTCCGCCGCCTGGCCGATCGATACGGGGGCGAGAGGAAGGCGGACCCGACAGAGGACGCGGCGAGAGAGGGCGGGAGGTGAGAGATTGGGAGGATAGGGGGAGGGACGTGAGAGGGCGGGAGGAGAGGATACGGGGTGAGCGACGGGTGGATGAACGAGGGAGCGGGAAAGACAGGGGCACGTCGTTCAAGCGCGGGGTTCCCGGTAGGAGTAAGGGCGGCAGGGAGGAGTATGGTAATGAATATGGTGACGAGGAGGACGAGGAGGAGTATGAAGAGGACGTGCGGGGTGTTGTGCGCAAGGAGGCTAGGAAAGGAGGAGCAGGGTGGCGAAATGTGGAGGAGGACGAGGCGGAGGAAGACGGGGAGGAGGAAGACGGGGAGGAGGATGGGGAAGGCAAGGGGGCCCGGAAGGGCAGGGCGGGTCGATTGGTGGAGGATGAGGGGGGAGACGACGAGGTGATGGTGAGAGGAAGGGGCCGCGGTGACGCGGGGAGAAGTGCCAAGGGCAGTGCAGGTGCGGGTAGGCATGGGGGGAGGGATGGGGGAAGGGGTGGGGGAAGGGATGGGGGGAGGGATGGGGGAAGGGGTGGGGAAAGGGGTGGGGGGAGGGATGTGGGCATTGCATCCCCCGATGCTGACGAGAGTGAGGGCGACGAGCCGAATGACCGTCTGGGTGCTTCCGAAAAGTCTGGTGGCAGGAAGGAGAGCGAAGGCCGAAGGGGGAGGGGTGGGGTTGAGGAGGAGGGGGATGAGGAGGAGGAAAGGTGGGGTGCGGACGGGGAGAGGAGGCAGGGTGAAAGGGGGAGGTATGTGGCGCGCGGAGGGGAGGGGAGCGGTTACGAGGGGCGTCCGCGTGAGAGGCGAGATGAGGAAAGGGGCGCAGGAAGGGGGGAGGGGCGCGGAGGGCGGAGAGCAGGGTACGAGGATGAAAGGGGAGGGGAGATGCGAGAGAGGCCAAGGGGTTTTAGCAGCAAGGGTCCTAGCAGCAAGGGGCCTAGCCGTAGGGAGGGGCCAGGGGAGGATTGGGAGGAGGGAGGTGCTGGTGGCGGTGTTGGTGGCGGTGCTGGTGGCGGTGCTGATGCAGGTGATGCGCGGGGTCGTGGTGATAGGCATGAGGATGGAAGGGGTAGGAGAGATAGGAGGGGCAAGGAGCAGAGCGAGGAGGAAGCTGGAGAGGAGGAGGAGGAGGGGGATGAGGAGGCAGGGGGGAGTCAGAGGCAGTCTCGCAGCTTCCGCTCTTCCCAAGAACCATCTGCCTCTCTACAAGATGCTTCCCCTCCCTCCTCCGGTTCTCCCTCCCCCCGCCGTCCGACAAGGGAGGCTGGGACACGAGGGGACGGGCAGGGAGGTCAGATGGGTGGTGAGGGGTTTGGGAGGGTTGGGAGTGATGATTGGGAGGAGGAGGAGGAGGAGGAGGGGATGAATAGTGAGGAGAGGCGGGAGGCGAAGCGGAGGAGGAAGGAGGAGAAGAAGGCGCGTAAGGAGGAGAAGAGGAAAAGGAAGGAGGAGAAGCGGCGGCGGAAGGAGGAGAAGCGCGCGGCTAAGGAGGCACGGCGGGGGATGGGAGGGGAGGAGGAGCGAGGCAGCAGTGAGGATGAGGAGGAGAGACAGCATGAGGGAGGGGTGAATGGTGGTGAAAGGGGGGATGGTGAAGGGAGAGGTAAGAGGGAGAGGGAGCGGGAGGAGGGAGAGGGTGGGGAGAGAGAGAGGGGGGGTGGGGGGTTTGGGGGAAGTATGGAGGAGCTGAGGGAGAAGGCTCTGCGATCCATGCAGGCTAAACGGGCGAGAGAGGGGTGATGTGATGATGGGGAGGAGGGGTGATGGGATGATGGGGAAGTGGGGTGATGGGATGATGGGGAAGTGGGGTGATGGGATGATGGGGAAGTGGGGTGATGGGATGATGGGGAAGAGGTGTGATGGGATCATGGGAAAGAGGGGTAATGGGATCAGGGGGAAGAGGGGTGATAGGGTTAAGAATTACTGGAGGGAGAGAAGGCCGCTTGTGGCCACTGGCCACAAGCGAGACAGATATGGCTAGGATAGACGAGCTGAGGGAGAGGGGGGTGGCAGGGAGGATGGGAAGGAGGGGAAGGGAAGTCAACTGGGCTGGACCCGTATGATGAATTTTGCTTGCCACTGGGAGGGATAGACATGACTTACTGGTTGAGTTGGTTGGTACACCCGTTCGCTGGGTTGCTTGCAGTGGAGAGGTGATCAAATGATGATTGATGGGGCTCCTATTTTTGGGTTCTGTGAGCGGTTGATTGAATGGCTCTGGGTTGGTGGAACAGGTTTTGCTCGTGCAGCCTACTTTCCACGCGTACTGGCTGCGTTTGTTCAAACAGCAGTTGTGTACTGCAGCCTGCTTTTGTTAGAAACATGCAGTTTCCTCTCGCATTACGAAGCAATCATCTCGATTTGGGCGTAATATATTCAGTGCAAAGCATTTTGTTCAAGAAATGACGTTTTATACTTGTACCTTGTATTGTCGAAGAGGTACCCCCACAGCAACAGTTTCCGGCGGACCGCCCAGCCCAGCATCCAGATTCTGTCGCACATGCAAGTGGGAATCTGGCTGAACAAGTTCTGAAAGTTTTCGACGGCCAAAAACACAGAATATTTTACTCGTGTAACCCGCTTGTCGCGGCATTCCCTAACCATGGGCTCGTTCGCAGGTCACATCATCCCCGGGACGCTTTTCCTGCTAGTGGGGCTGTGGCACCTGCGATGCAGCATTAAGAATTACCTCGCGGCGCCGCGAGCCTTCGTGTCGCGACTATGGCATCCCGCGCCGCTACCCGGCCACTGGGCGCGGCTCGAGCTGTACATTATAGTAGTGGGGTCGTTCCTAGATATGGGTTTAGTCGAGCTCGGAGTCGGAACGGGGTTCCATCCGATCGAGAATGGCGGAGTCGCGCCCGGCCACCTGAATAACTTCGAGGTACCTCGCACTTCCACTGAGCAGCGCGCATTGATCGGGGCGGACAGGAAGCTCAACTAATCAAAAGAAAGAAAGAAAGAAAGAAAAAACAACAACAACAAACAAACAAACAAACATGCTCCATTTTCACCACATGTTTCCCTCATCCTCCCCCCCTCTTATCCTCCCATCTCCCCACACCTCTCCCCCCCAGCGCAGCACGCGGCGATGCTGCTAATGTTCTTCCTGCTCGGCTGCGCCCTTCTCATCAGCGAAACCACCAGGTCAGCAGTGTGGAAAGATGAACGGTTGATGTTCTGGGGGGGAAGGGGGGGGAAAGAGGGTGGGGAGCGGGGGATGGGATGGAAAGGCCATGTCCTCGCACCCATCGCACAGCCCATTCTTTCCCAATCCCGCCCCGCCCATCTCGTCCATCCCCCAATCTCTCCTCACCCCTCTCCAACCATCCCCACCCCTTCCTCCACAGCCTGCTCCCCCTCCCTCTGGGCGCGTTCCACATCCTAGCAGCGCTCGCATTCTTCTGTGAGGGGATGCTCTTCACTCTCCACTCCACGGCGCACCACGGCCTCGAGCCGCGCTACCACATGCTGCTCGCCATCGCCATTACCGCCTGTGTCGTGTGTGCGCTGCTGGCCGCTGCCATGCCGCACTCCTTCCTGCTCGATGCCGTTGGCAGCGGCGCGATCGTCCTGCAGGGGCTCCTGTTCTGGCAGGTCAGTCACTCACCCACATGTACCGCACTGTACTGTACCACACCATGGTGTGCCATGCCATGCAGGGCCTCGGGTTCTGGCAGGTAACTTCACCTCCCACACATGCTGCTAGCTGTCACCATTGCTGCCTGTGTCGTGTGTGCCCTGCTGCTGCCTGGGGGCTGCTGTGCCGCACTCCTTCCTGCTTGACACGGTTGGCAGCGGCGTCATCTCTTGCAGGGCCTCTTGTTCTGGTAGGCCAGTCACTCACCCGCATCTTGGCACGACACTGTACCATACCACACCATAGCGTGCAATACAGAGCCTCCTGTTCTGGCAGGTCGGCATCCTCCTTCTCTGTAGCATACTGCACCGTACTGTATTGTATGCAGGGTACTGTACCATATGGTACCGCACAGCACCACAACATACCATTCCTCCTCTCTTTCATTCCCCCTCGTGCATGCAGACCCCCATGTCGCTGTATGGCCCCATGGTGCCAGCAGGCTGCTACTGAGGCCCTGATACCGTGCACAGCGACTCCGATGCAACCAAGCACCGAGCAAGAAATTCATGCCTTGATTCTCTCCCTCCTTCCTTCCCTTCCCCCGGCAGACCGCCATGTCCCTCTATGGTCCCATGGTACCAGCAGGCTGCTATCTGGGCCCTGACACCGTGCATTGCGACTCCGATGCAAACGAGCACCGAGCCATGGCCCTTGCCGTGCTGCAGTTCATCGCCCTCCTCGCCTGCACCCTCGTGCTCTCACTCGCGTATTACGGCGCGGTTGCGAGCGCTGCTCCTCGGTCGTCCCTTGATATTATCCATGCAACGCATGCTGTGGAGTGTGGGGAAGGGGAAGCAAAAGATGGTAGTGGGAGGGGGGATGGTGGCAAGGGAGAGGTTATGTTGGGGGCACTTAGTGCGCATGAGGACAGTGTGGACACAGGTGTAGGTGTAGACGAGGAGAAAGGCCTTCTATCTTAAAAAGGAGTATTTTGACGTAATGTATTATTTTGTACCCAAATCATTCCATATAATTTCTGCACCTGATTCGAAAAGGTTATCGTCTGGTGGTATTGTACGGTTGAGCAGCTGCTGTTTTCGTATGATCGATCCCCGAACGGCTGGAGAAAAAACCCTTGTTATTCTTAACTCATCTGAATCATCTTCACCATTTTCTATCTGTAAGGAAATTCCCTTTTCCTTACTTCGCATCTCTGCTCAACGCGTACATCACTGTAGCACCTCAGTCAGCACCGTTACCACTCACAACCATCGCATCATTCATCATCCCGCCATTTTCGCACATCGCATCCCGACCTCACGGCTCGACTGGTAACCCGCGCTCCGGGCCTACGCTTCGACACGTTCCCAACCTCAGTCCCGGGCTCGTCGCGCGACCATTACCGTTACCACTGTAGTTTCGCTATATATTCTTCGCTCATACCTTCGCTCATTGTACTCTTGCTTCGATAGTGCAATTCTCGCTCGTTCACTCAATTGCACTCGTAACACTTGGTATTCAGAGCCTACGATCCCATCTCGGACCGCATCCACACCTTCACTTCCCCACTTTCTCAATTTTTGGGGGGGGTAGATGTCTCTCAGCGATACAGCACCGCCGCTCGTAGTGCTCTCTCGCAAGCACGCACGGCCACGACCGAGGCTCTCGCTGAGCTTGCCCGACACCCCCGCCATGGCCGATTTCACGCTCGCCACATTGACGCAGGAGCAACTTGATCGTCTCGTGCGTCAACTGGAGGATTCGGCGCTTGAAATCGCGACCCTCGCGGCGGAACGTGACTCCGCCCGTCAACAATCCACGATGAACGTACCGACGACATCCCACGCACCAACAAACGCATCTGCACGTTCGGATGAGCCGATCATCATCTCGTCCGGCACACCAACACAACACGACAGCACGGGACAACGCTCAGGCGCAGCCAGTGAGGGCGCCGCCCAGCCGATGCCTGGCATGGGAGGAAACAGGATCGCACCAAGCCCACGGGAGCCTCGAGAAGTCCGTCGGCACGTGGAATTTGCGGCGACAAGTGGCGAACAACCCAACATGGCACCAATGCCGCTCAAGCCGCAACGCCCGCCCTGCTTCGACCCAAGTCAACGCGGCGGTCCGACAGTTCAATCGTGGGTCTTCACGATGAACGTCTTCTTCGACGCGAATTACGTCGAACCGGACGCAGCGAAGATTCGGTATGCCGTTTCGCTGCTAAGGGGCCTCGCCATGGACTAGTGGCTAAACCCTAAACCATCTCACATCCCTAGCCTCATCCCAACCTCCAAGGCTCCAGCAGACACCCCACGCAACCAGAGACTTATCAATTCGCATCTGTGGTATCTGGGGTGTGCGCGAGTGAGTCTTGTGGAATCCATGGGAGTCTGAGAGTGTCGGTGGGTGTTGGTTGGACCTAGGAGCAACAAGCAGGTTCCTGGGGAGCTGGTTGCTGTCCGCCTACTTCTCAGCTCTTCCATAGAAAGTCAGCGGGCAAAAACCGAACTCGAATGGAGCAGCACACGGCCTGGAATCCACTGTTCAAGAATCAAGAGTCAAAACCAGCGATGCTGCTCAACGTTGTCCACTGCTTCCGATATTTGCAACCACACGCACGAGTCGTTCCCTGTCGAATAGGTCACCGCTGACTTGGACTGACTGCTACTGTACCGGAAGCACCATGGTGCCATTATTGCACCCAAGGCGCTTCACGAGTCACAATGAGCACTTACTGGCAGATATCGACACCGTGCTAGCGGTCCTCGGTGTCGGCCTGAATCACGCTTCTGCTCTCTTCTCTGCTGCCACCATAGTATTTCAATCTTGGAGTCTCAACTCAAAACTCCATCACCGTGACTTCGACTCACCATTTGAGCTGCTAGAAACCCGCGTTCGTAGCAGGTGACGTCTCGAAACAAGCCTACTGGTGCTATCGCGTGCCACAGGGTTCGGATTTTCAGTCAGCTTGTTTTTAGACGACACTAGCGTGGCGGTCACAAGGGTGACGATCACCTGTGACTGTGACGGACGAGAATGGGGTCCTTCCTCGGTCACACGTGCGCAGGAACGGTCATGCTCATTTTCGCTTCATGGAACCTTTTCTGCGCCATTCGCGCTTACCTCGCCGCGCCGCACGCGTACGTGGCGCGTGCATGGCATCCGGTGCCGATTCGCGGACACTGGGTGCGGCTTGTGGTGTACGTACTCATCTGCGGGGCGTTCGCGCAGCTCATGGAAGGGCTGCTGCTGGGACTGCTGTCCGCGTTTGAGCATAGATTTGAAATAATTCAATTCGAGGTGAGTTCTTAAGATTCTCGTGCTTCTTGTTTTTCATTTTCACGTTTCGAGATGCTCTCAAGTTCGTTGCGTGTGAGCTTGAGGAAGTGTCAGATCCTTTGTTGTAGAGACGCTGCACCTTGAACTGACTCTCTTTCAGCACATCCTTGAACCACACTGCACCATGTTGTGCTTGGTTCGCCTTCCATGTAACAGTATGCATTGCTTGTTTCACATTCTGAGCTGCAACATGTGTTCTTTCCTTCTCCCTCCGTTCGTCCTGCACCCCTTTCGTTCCTCACCGCAGCACGCCTTGCTCTTTGCTGTCTTCGTTACTATAGGGCTCATCTTCTATGTCCATGACACAAGCAGGTGAGACCAAAGAAAGTTGTACGATAAAATTTCGGAATGGATGATTGATTTGAAGCTCTGTATCTGCCGAATCTCAGTGCTAATTTATGAATATAGTCCGCATAGTTCCATCTTTCTCATGTCATACTCCAAACCTCCCTTCTACTTCCCGTCTCACCTGTGAAACCTCCCAATCTTCCTGACATTTCTAAATCCCCCCTCCCCCCACCCCCGTACCCCTCCCTCTTCCCCTCCTTCACCCACCCCTCTCCCCCACTTTCATTCCTACCACCTCCATGCCCAGTCTCCTGCCTCTCCCACCAGGCTCCCTGCACATCATCTACGCCATCGGCTTTTTCAGCGAGGCCATTCTCACCACCTTCCACTCCATCTCCCACAAGGGCCTCGAGCCTCGCTTCCACCTCTTCCAAGCACTCGCTGCCGTCATCTGCTTCCTGCTTGCGCTCCTCGTTGCCGCCTTCCCCTCCTGCTTCCTCCTCGATGCAATGTTTTTCTCGGGGTTTCTTTTCCAAGGCCTCTGGCTCTGGACCATGTCTCTTTTCCTCTATGGAGTGCTCCACTTACCGGGTTGTCGCAATGTCGATTATAAGATGGTTAAGTGTGAGACGGAAGTGGAGGAGCACCTGGGTGTTGCGCTCGCAGGTATTCTTTTTATTGCCGTGCTCGTCTTTACCATGCTCCTCGCCCTTGCTCTCTATGCCAGGGCTGCTCGGAACGCCCCCCGTTCGTCCATAGACTACATCCTTGCATTATCTCCTAACGTCGAGGCATCTCAGAAGGAAGCTGCTTCCGGGAACATTGAAGCCGGGATTGACGTGAACGGGGAAAAAGATGTGCAGGTTGAAGGAGCAGCAGCAGTTGCAGCAACAGCAGGTCCTAAGGTGCCCCTCACTCATGCTGTTGTCAACTTGGAGAATGAAAGTGCCGCATTGCTAGGTGGTAAAATTGAGATGTGACGATTCGTATGAGATGTATAAGTTCAGATGTACAGCAGCATTTGCGTGGGAAGAGTAATTCCCACAGTACATGCATTTACTATTCCAGGAATCATAAAAGCAGTGCTGCTATGAAGCCCTAATGAACTGACATGTAGAAATCAACCCCTTATTATGTCAACGGATGGGGAACGCGGGTGTAATTACGACAACGAGTATACCCGTCCTATCTTAATGACTAATGGTGTTATTGGAGCGAGCAGCTGCAGGAACTATCCTCGATATAGCACGACTCGGTACGGTAGCCCATCGCGGCGGCTTCATGATCACTGCAGAGACAGGGGAGACAAATATGCGGGGGAACACAATATTAAGATCCACAATTCTCCATGTACTTGGAAAAATGAAGTGGGAGAGCAAAGTCGTACTGAAGCGTCGAGCCTCACGCATTGCAACCTAGCCAGACCATACCAGCACAACCGAGCCAGACCATACCGCACAACCTAGCCAGACCATACCGCACGCACTCTCATCCGCTAATCTTTCCACCCCTGCCTCCCCCACACCGGCCAACCCGCACCAGCGAGTTCCCCGCATCCGAACCCGCTCCCTTCAACCACCTAATCCGCGCACAACCCGCAATTCCCCGCGTCACGCACCAGCGACGGAATTCCCTGACGGCAGCCAGCGCCGCGCCCTTCGCCTCGTCCAGCCACTGCACGCGCAGACCCCGCGACGCGCCTTCCGCCCGCACCGCCGCCTTCACCGCCGCATTCGACGCCGTCTTAGACAGCGACGACGATCTCGACGGCCTGATAGCCTGACCGTTATCGTAAGACGGCGACTCTGAGTCAGGATGGTGAGTGGCAAGCACAGGCAGGGGGCCTGCGACGAGGTCCCATTCCCAGCAGTCGACGGGGGGCGCATGTATGTGCGGCAATTCCGCCTCAATATCCTCCAGGCACTCGAGAATGAACTGGGAGACGTGGGTTCGAATCTTGCCGGACGCGCATAGCCCGTTGTGCAGGGCCTGGGTTAGGGAGACGGCGACGGAGAACGAGAGTGCGGATAGGGAGGACCCGCACGGGGAGTCTAAGAGAGCGGCGTGAGCGGAGCTGAGGATCGCAAGGGATGCGTCGAGACCCGAAATGCCGCCGTGGTGTTGGTCTTGTGGGGTTTCTACGACAGGCGTGGGTTCAACTCCTGACAAGCGCAGTTCTGATGGTGCTGCCAGACTGGGAGGCTCCAGACGAACGGATGCTGACTCGCATGCGACGGATGCTACGGCCATAGTTACGGTGAAAGATTGCAACGGATGAGTTCCCGCAATGCTGATGATTTACGCGACAGGGAGCTGTGGCTAGAATGCACGACGCGACACCCACGTTACTATAGTAGATTCTGCCTAGATCCTGCCCAACACTCTGTTGATAAGCTATATCCACGGTACATAAAGAACTAGGACGTAGAGGAACACAACTCCCTGACCAGGATTTACGAGCGGACGGAATGAACAGACACTGGTGCAAGCACCAGGTGGTGTGACTGAGAAGGCTTCTAATATATATACCAGTAAACCTACTCACCATTCTTCTGTGCTCTAACATGTGTCGTTGAAGGGAACCAGGAACCACAAGCATCAACAGAGCAACCTAACCTAATCCGTGCCTCTGTCTGTGTATGAGAAGGTCCTGTAAACCAAGCCTCTTTCATCGTTCTGCACCACGATTGGTGGGAATGAATTTGTTGGGACAATGATGTGCGCGCTCGGCGCAACCCCAAGCAAGCAGGTGAGCCACGGCACTGGCTTGGTAATTACCGAACAGAAGGGGAGGAAACAAAGCTTGAACGACCAAGGCGTGGCCGTCGATTTTGCGACTCGTACACCGTGCACGAGACCAGTTGGGGCGACCGCGCATCGTCACGAATTCTCTGCGAGTGGTTGGGAACGTGAGATCTGTTGACATGACATCTGCATAGGGTCAATTGACAATGCCATTGTCTTCGCGACTGTTTTTTCTTTAGGTCCCTGCCCGAGGGCCATTCCCTCGGTATTATCATGTTTTGACGTGTTACATTTGGATATATCATGGTGGTTCTCCTAGTTACGAAGGTAGAGCAGTGTCAAAAGTGAGGTCTCAATGGTTTGTTGCCGAACCGCAGTCGAGGCGACGCCGCCGAAAATACCGCTGTAATCAGGCAAGCCGTTACAGTATGACGGCATAAAGGCTCGGGCCGCCGCCGTCTGTTCCAATAGCGGAGACAACACTCGTCTTGGCAATTTCGTGCAAATCTGCATTTTCTAGAAAGCTGTAAACTGTACGCAAAACAGCAATATATGAGATTACGGTGTGCGCATTAGAACATTCTAATATCGTGATCCTATTTGTCTATAGGTAGAGTTTATGACGGGAAGCTTCTCCACAACCGAAATGCCAAGTTGCTGTCGTCATGGCATCACCTCACCGACACATGTTCGTCGCCACGTCGTCAGGATACTCCTTCAGGACAGCGTAGGCATGCTGACTTGGACCAGCAAATTGCATGGTTGGCTTCCAGCTTTGTACTGTAGGCCGTCCGGATGAACGGGTGCGATCGAGGGATTCACAATGGTTGGCTGGATCTGCCGTGACTTGGGACACATCGAGTGATCGTGCGTGCTCAATGCGACAGACCAATCGAGTCGCGATGCCAAGTCACACCAGTGGGTGCGTTCTGGGAGGAATCATTGAATCGGGATGAAACCAGAATTGGGTTGTAGTACAAGGAATGTTCCACCCTGAAATGGCAGCGTGGCCCAATCAAAGTAGACAGGGCTGCCAGGGAATCTCAGCGACTAGGGTCTCTTGTCTGAACCTGCACCACAAGCACCATCCTTTCCTTCCTCTCACAAGCCACCATCACACCCTTACCACGCGGCGCCTCAAGCAATTTTGAACGATTGATCGCAGGATCGCTGAATCAACCGTACTGAATCTCTGCTGAAAGCATTTGAATCTTTCAATACCATTTTAAACTCCTAAAACATTCGATCCTGCGCAGGATCGATCGCAGGATCGCGTCCTTACCTAGCACCATTCCCCCAGCCAACCTGCTTGGAGCTTCCGTACGATGCTACACTAGCCTCAAAGCCAGAATGTATTACGTAGGGAAGAGAGGTATCTGCAATACCGACGCGCACCGCGGCCCGCCGCACGCAGTCATGGCGGACGTTGATTCCGTCAGAACCGGTTCTCCAGAGGCCTTCCAGCCGCTTCAGGCATTTCACTCTCATAACGACACGCCGTCGAGCCGGTCCGTGCAGGTATCATTCCAATCTGATGCCCATGCGACGGCATCGGTGGTCTCTCGCGCTGCGTTAGACTCCTCCGTCCCATATCCCCTCGCTTGCGTTCCTCTCCCTCTCCCTCGCCCTCCTCCACCCGCGTCCACGCCAGCAGAACCAAACGAGAAACCGCCGCAAGACCTAAACGATATGGCTACAATCGAGGATAGAAACCTCCCCGCCAATCAAAATTCGTTACAAACCATCACGAAAGGCAGCATCCGATCGCGTTATTCCATCGTTCGCCGAATCGGCAGCGGCCGGTTCGGCTCCGTCTACGAGGCCGTAGATCGCGCCACGAGCAGCCGCGTCGCCATTAAGAGCATCCCTAAAGCGCGCCAGAGCGCCCTTCCGTCGCTAATCCGAACCAAGGTGACCGAGGCTGATGTGGCTCGGCAGCAGCGACTGGTCGAATCGGAAGCTGAAATCAGCCTCATGCTCGGGTCGGCTACTACAGCCGGTCAGGATGACGAGCCGGATCGGATCGTATCCGCAAGTCAAACCGTTTTAGCCGAAGCGGCTGTAGCTTCTGTGGCGGAAGGCGCTGTAGATTTTGGGGCGGCGGATGCACTAGCAGCGGGGCAGGGTACTGTGGGGCAGGGTACTGTGGGGCAGGGTAACGTGGTGCAGGTGTTATCCGTGGTGGAGGGCCGGCAGCATTTCCACATCGTCATGCAGCTCTGCCGCGGCGGCTCGCTCGCCGAATTCCTCGAGAAACGCCGCCGCGGCCAAGTCGCCACCTTGGCCGCCGCCGCCGCCCCTGCCGTCGTTTCTCCTGCCGCTGTTTCTCCCGCCGCCTCTTCCACCGCAATTCCGGCTTCGGGTTTTACCCCGTGCCCCTTGCACTCCTACCAAGTCGCTCGACCCTCAGCGCGCTTCGCTGCCGGGGGGGATCGCTCGCCTGTCGGTTTCCTTCCCGCAGACTCCGGAAACGCCTCGCCGTCACCGCCGGCGACGGGAGTGGCGTCAGATGCGGAGAGCAGTCCTCACAGATGGTATCAGGCGGCGACGTGGGAATCGAACTCGGAGGAAGAAGGCGGACCGAACGAGGGGGTGGAGGCGCTGGAAGGGACTGATTCAGCAGGCCGCGATTGGCGGCATAGGATGCGAGACGAAGAAAGATTGGGGGAGAGTGGTAGAGAGAGTGAAAGGATTGAGGACGATGGTACGGAGCAGGAGGACGAAGATTCCGTGGCGTCGCAGCTGAAAGCTGATTGGGTGCCGCGAAAGGCGCTGACGGGAAAGGGCATGGAGAAGTCTGCATCGACGGGCGAGCTAGCGCAACTCGCGGAGGCAGCAGCGGCTGCTGCGGCGTCGTTCGCGGGGCGAACTAATGCGGGGTTCTCGCCGGCCACAGGGGCTGCAGGATTGTCCACGTCGGCAGGAGCTGAGTCAGCAGGAGCGGGAGGGGGAGAGAGCAGTAGAGCGGTGGTGTATGGAGGGATGACGGAGGAGGGGAGGAGGAGGCAGCAGGAGTGGGAGGACGAAGCAGCGTGGATAGTCTATGAGATCGCTGCAGCGGTGGCGTATTGCCACAAACGGGGCATCTTACATCGAGACATCAAACCAGAGAACGTTCTCTTGACTCTGCCGCCCAGCTCCCAGCCAATCACCACCCACGCCTCTCCACGTTCCCCTTGCACCACAGCTGCGTCCTCCGAGGACCAAAATTTCCGTTCTGCCCGTGTTGTGGGGCGGTCAACGTCAGTGGGGCAGTCAACATCATTAAAGCCAAGCAGTGAGTTTCTGCGTAAGAGCCCCTCCTTTTCTATCCTCGCCACAGCTGCTGGTGCTCATGCTGCCGACGGTGAGGCTGGTGGGGCGAGGGGTAGGCTCGTGGCAGCAGAGTCAGGGCGCTATCAGGCAGCCAGTGTGGGTGCTGCTGCTGCCCATCCACCCCACGCTGGTGGGGCCCATTGGCATGGCAGGGTGCGTGGCAGCGTGCATGGGAACGCGCATGGGCACAGGCGCTCTGGCTCTCTCGCCAGCTGGCTGGGTCGAACCAGCCTGCGGAAGAAGCAGCAGCAGCAGCAGAAGCAGGAGCAGGAGCAGCAGCAGCAGCAGCAGCAGCAGAAGCAGGAGCAGCAGCAGCATCAGCAGCTGATGCAGCAAATGGAGGATGGGGAGCAGTCTTTCAAGGCAGGCGGTTCGGAACTTTCCATTTGTACTGCTGCTGTTGCTGCTGCACTCCCCTTGTGCACCTGTGCATGCAAGCAGCAGCACCAACACTCCAACAATACCCCTCTCCCTGCTCTCAGTGAAGTGCAAGGGCTGCGTTTGGCTGACTTTGGCCTGGCAGAGAAGCTACGGCCAGGGCAGGCAGCCACACGAGGCCTTGTTGGCAGCCCTGCCTACGTGGCACCTGAGGTGGCGGCAGGGCTCCCCGTCAGCTTCCCTGCAGACGTCTGGGGCATCGGAATTTGTCTGTACATGGTGTTGTCGGGCGGCCAGCTGCCGTTTTCTGGGCGGCGCACTCGGCTGCTGTTGTTGAATATTCGGCGGGCGCAGCTTCCTATGGGGACGGCGGCATGGGTGAGTGTGTCGGGAGAGGCGAAGGATGTGGTGAGGAGATTGTTGGCTGCAGATCCGAAGCACCGGCCAAGTGCGGAGGAGGTATTGCAGATGCCATGGGTGGTGAATGGGAGAGGTCGGTGGCTGCAACGGCAGACAGGTTTTGTGACTTGAGGTTGTGTGCAAATGTTCTCTTAAAGCTCTTCATTGTTTGGATGTCGTTTATTTATTATATTCTGCCAGCCTGAAACCTGCCAGTGACAAAGTAGCAGCTGGATTTGGGTGGTTTGATATATTTTATTAATTAACAAGTGAGTATACCAGTACGTTGGAATAATGTTTCGCTACATGGCTCTTGTAAGGAATTTTCTCGAATTCCTTATCGGGGTTGACTGCTACGCGTTCATCCCGATTTTCGGACTTTGCACGTTCGGC